TATTGCCAAATGCATATTATACCCTAATTGTATATAACTTAATACTTAATATTTACATGCTATATTTTCTTCTTCTTCTTCTGGTCTGTGGCCTTGACAAACAAAGCTCATTGAATCTATCCATCTAGAAGTAATTCCTTCCAATGTGTATCTGGATCACACTACATTGAACTAAACTTATCAATGAACCTTGTTTCCTCCACGAATATATGTCCAACTCGTTGTTGTAGTTTGTTTTTTTTATTTATATTGTAGACTACTGGTGGTACAAAGATTTTTTCATTAAAATCATCACCTCGAAATTCAGCAACTTGCGCTGTTCAGTTTGGCGCATTATACAAGCCTTACAGCTATATAGACTACAACCGGTGCGATTAAATTGTTTTTTTTTTTAATTTTTCGACAGTGTCCTTGAACTTAACTTGAACCGCAAGAGTATAATATGCTATATAACGTATAGCTATATCCTATAGAACCTTATGGTAGACAGAATAATGCTCTTGTTTTTTTATTTTTACTAATGAAATGATTGCGTTAATTGTTCTTTTACATTTTCTTCGATTTAATTATAATTTCTAACAACAATAATAATAATTGTAATAACTATTACAATTTCACTATAGATTATAATTACAATCTAATCGCCATTTCCATTCAATAACGTGCTTGTGTTAGGGTACGACTTTTTTTTTTTAGTTAAATTTTAAGCAAACAAGAAATATAATTCTTAAACGTTTCTTCGGTCGCGTTAGGTAGGTTCCATGACAATAATATGCCAACTCCTGTTTTCGCAGACTAGTTATAAGAAACGAGAGAACCGGTCTAAAGTTTAATACCAAGGTCAAGGCGGGTCAGTTTGATTTTTTTTTTCGCTATAGTTAATAATTCTATTCTATAGTTTATTATTTTGAAAACGTTTTTGGCGTCGCTAATGTAATATTTGTTAGGGGTTTTTTTTCGTTATTTAAAACTTTATTGTTTTTTACCCAAACAAAACACACGAAGGTGAAACGCAGCATAAAAAAAAATGATTATTATAAAGAAATATACATTAAAAATAAACCTCTACTAAGGCAATACATACACCTGCTACAAATGCGGTTGTCGGTTAGCTTTAAACACGGTGCACGTTTAATTATTATTCAACAAGACTTAAGAATAATGATATTAGTTATTCAATGCCACGCCGAAGTCTCTATCGACCTAGCTGCGTAGGAGATATTTATAGTTGAGGTATTTATTATTTTCGCATATCTAATATGTTATTGTATAATATAAAAAAATTGTATAATATTAAATAATATTTTTTTTATATATATATAAATAAAACACACAATCGGTGTGCTAGCAAATATGTGTGATTTTTCATCGACCATAAGTGATTATATCGAATACTAAATAATATTATTAAGCTAACCAATTACCGCAATAATAATATTAAATACATAAACTGATTGGCCACTTGATATGTATAAAGTTTTTATTTTTATTATAAAGTACCAATTAACGACGAATATTACATTAAAAAAAAAAAAATGATACAAGTCGTTTGAATTTAATTTAACAAATTGTTTGACATTGTCAATTCACTTCAAGGCGAATATTGGAGGAAAACCTTTCCCGTGTTAAATTTATAAATTTCTATGAAAATAATTTACATGTTTAGGTGCACAAATTGTGTGTATACAACACCGTTTTATATTTGTGTATAAATTTATTTATATTGTATAATAATATTGTATTATATATTCTATTTTATAAATTACGTTCACCAAATTATAAAAGACTAACGGGTAAATAGCAAAATACAAGGTTATTAATAGTTATTTATTTAACCCATAGGGCATAAAAAACGGTATAATAAGAATACATAACTAAACAGTACACGCTAATTGCATTAATCCAAAGATTGGCTGCTCTGTTAAAAAATAGAACCCTACATTTTTACAATTTTTTTATATATAATATAAGAATATAATATAATATATATATATATATATATATATATATATTTTTTTACATATCAGTTTTAATATAAATCAATGCTAATTGTATAATAGAAATTGTATAACTTGTTTAAAAAAAAACCCAACTTAAAATAGAAAATCAGCAGACAGTAGCTCTATTAAGCTATTAAGCTGTATAGGTAATAAGTTTAATAGTTTTATGTTGAGTATGTAATTTTTGTTTATTTATTTAACATTTTTTTCTTCCAATATACACAATTTACAAGAAAAATGGGTTTGTTGGAAGGTCATAAATCATAATATTAATATATACGCTATAAATAGTGCCAAAAAAAAAATCTATGACGTTCCTAAGGTTTCTTACCAGAGGTCGAGAATTCATTAAAAAGTAGTCATCGTCATCTGTGCGTTTAAGACATCAACAATATCTTTTATTTTTTTTTTTTAGTTTGACCCTAAACTTATTTTTATTATTTTATTCATTTATTAGCACCATTTGCTTAAAATCCTTGAATTTAAATTTATACTATATCAACTCAATTCAAATGCACCGAAGCCATTAGAATTCTTATACTTATCTTATACAAATCTTATTTTAAAACATAATATATTATGCTTTTATATGTTTTATTTTATTATATTATAAACGTATAAGCTTTTATTTTAATAAACAAGTATCCCACGACCGCAATGACTTCTCCTTGCGACGGGGCAGGCCAGTGTTTTTCTTAGCTATTGCCCGGAAAAATCTGAGATCAAATAAAAAATTCAGCCGGGCATGACGTCAGAGCTAAAGTATCGAAACCTGACGAACCAGTCGGGCAAGCAGGTTGGCTTAAAGTTGCAAATTTCCTTATTGAAACCTGTAATTTGCTTTAAATTAGGTTTCACACCACGTTTTATAATAACTATTAACGTTTAAACTTCAATGACGTCATCCCATTATTATATAGTGGTCACGTGAGTGATGTTTAAAAAAAATAATAACTACATATACTATTATTATTTATCGCAACAACAAACCCAACAATAATCTGTTTATAATAATAGAAATTATAAATTATTAGCAATAATAATATACGTCATATGAATATATGTATATATTGTTTGAACAAAACTAATGTTTGGAACATTCCTTTTACAAAAATGCAAAAAAAATAAAAACGTTTTAGATTTTTAATTTATTACTAAAATAATTTAATTATTATCACCATTAGGTACTGTGTACATTTTTTACTTGTATACATGTATATTAGTTATAATAAATTGTGTAAATATTGCCAAATAAAACAAAAAATATTTTACTTTTATAGTCTTATAAGAGTTGACAGTTGTTGTATAATGACTATTGATAATTATTGTTTAAATAATTTTTATAGAACGCCATTTAGTGACCAACGCAAAGGCAGCTAAAGTTCCTCTATAATTTTATCTTAATAAAAAAAATTTTAAAAACGGTTTAAGTTAAGAATTCAAAACGTATGCTGTCTAATGGTCCTAACTCAAAATAATTTAAGTACACATAAAAATCTACGAATCAATGACAAATAGCTAGAGGTCACGTGATTGATTTTGGAATTATTTTAAATATATATATATATTAATTTGTATTTGTTATATTGTCAGTACATTAAATGTTGAATACTAAGTACCAGCTGGTGCAAATATATTATATACATATATTATGCAGGTAGCACACCAATAGATTCAAAATACAATAGTTATAAGGTCCCCTTACGCAAATGGACTGAATGCATTTATACAGTTGAAACTCATTCATAAATTATCAAATTCGCCGTGACCCGGTTTGTGTTTGCAATTAAAATATATTCAACGCATTAAATTATAGTGACTGTTTCAATACATCCAATCAAATGCGATGATCAGAATATACTTGTCTGTACTTTAATTCAACAGCTACCAGAAATGTATCCAGACATTCCAGCAACACTGTGCTCGAGCCAGTTCAAAAAACTAACTCAATCAGACTTCAATATTTTAAGTCATCAAATTATATTAGCCTTGTAATTTCTATTATTTCTAGTGCTTGAGTGTACAAACAAATTCTAAAGATATTAATATTGTAATTTATCAAAATAAGTGTTTATGTTATTAGCCAAATAGTTATATTTTTTAAAGGTCCTAATTATATATATTAAGGGTCTATATATATATATAATATTTTGTTTTTGTATATTTCATAGACCAACGAAATATGAATTGTTTAGTTGGTTAAGGAGTTTCGTATAGGCAATTTTTATTAAAAATTAATAGTAAATATTTTTTTTTTTTTGCATAATATTAACATTACTTTTTGTAGCTAAACATCTGAGTACACAATTTTTAGCATTGTTATTTAATCGTATTTATTGTGGTATCTTTATTTTATGATTATTTTTTTACCTACTATAACAGTATGATATTTTCTCAATTCAACTACCCAAAAACTTGTAAACCACAAAACTTGTTTGTGTATTCTGCCAAATTGTTCGTGGTAAAAATGTATACTCGGTATAGGTCTTTTCAAATTTGTTGAGTATCTCTTTAAAATTCCTTGGAATTTTCCGTCATTTTAAAGACACAATTTGTGTACAAAGAAAAAAATTCAAACACTTTACAAACTAAGCAAATATTCCATATAATAATCAAAAATATATAATTTTCGGTTTTAAACATAATATTTTCTCAAATGCACATTTTCACTAAATAAATCATCCAAATGGATATTTTGTGACACTTTTTACCTGTATTTAATTGTATGCGGTTCGAACGCAACAACTAAAAATAACAAATATTACTCAAAAGTAAGGATGTAACACAGGGACAATAATTTTTTATTGATAATACAATTTTTTTTTTCAATTTTGAGTTGTAAACCAGACACAAATGCCTATTGTGCCACGTCTAGGAGTTTGCTTTCTTAATTTTTCTTCGCAATCACACTAGGCATATTATATAACTAAAGGATATTGGCTAAATAATATTTTTTGTTTTGTTATTCGATTAAATAAACGCAATCAAACACAATGCTCGTTTAGAAATAATATCTAACACGTTTATTTATATAAAATATATGATATATAAATAGATATATAGTTGAAAATTACAATTATTAATATATATATATATATATATATATTTATATAGTATATATTATATCTAGGTAGTCTAGGTATACCGACTAAACAAGGCAAGAGATACTGCGCACTACAACATGACTCGATTGAAATTTACATACTTAGGTAATAAAGTACATATACATTTTTTATTGACTACAAATAATATGGTATAATTAGTAATTCACCGAGTCGAACCCAAATCGTTTTGGAAAAATCATTTTACAGTCGTTATTTATCCTTTTTTTTTATTATTATTTATTATTAAACATTAATTCGTATTCGTCATGTTTATTGACTACGAAAACAAATTTAAAAAAAAAAGAAATCTTATATTATTTAATATAAGTAATTATTACTACTATTATTGTATTTTATTCCCGGGGACCTGGTGTGTAACGCACTGTGCGATCTATTGTTATTCGCTTAAACGGTAAAAAAATTATGATTACAACAATAATAATAATTATCATAACACAACTTATTTGTATATAAGAGAGAATAACGCCTAAAAAAAAATTTAAAAAAAAATAGAGAGAAAAAGAGAGAAATCATATATTTATAACAGTTACTGTACACAAAGTGACCTAACTAGCGAAACTATATATATATATATTTTTTTTTTGTATTTATTTCTTAACATCAAACGTCGTTATATAAATACAAGACCTGGTATGTTCGCCGTCTTAGAAGCGATTCGGTTACAAACATTTTTCCCGGTCGAGTCGAGAGGGACATACCTGCGAGAGAGAAATGGAGGGAGGGGGGAGAGAAAAAAAAAAATAATAATAATTATTTCGAGATATTTCACCGTCGATCCGTTTAAAAAAAAAAAAAAAACTACACAAAAACGAACACATATTAGGGAAAGAGAGAGATAGTATAGAGACACAGAGACAAACATACAGTAAATACAGTGCGAGAGAGAGAGAGAGAGAGTGATATAGATAGATAGAGAAAAACATAACAATTATTATACAAAAAAAAAAACAGTCAGTCGTAATAATATATATATATATATATATATATATATATATATATAGACATATCCGGAACGACGGCGGAAATAACCTTAAGGTTTCCAATGGAGGGAGGTGGGGGGGGGAGGCAGGATCTATTCGGGCGTTTTTATTTTTTTCTTCTTTTTTTAATCGATCAGTTTTTAATTTCTTCTTTGTGTTTTTGTTGTTGTTTTTTTTTTCTGCGGCGACCAGATCATCTCACGACGATCCGTTGACCGTGTTGGACACGTACGCCCTGTTTCGCATGGAGTTCTCGCCGGACACGAATGCCGTCTTGGGCGCGGTTTCCGTGGGGTCGGAGTACGCCTGCCCGTTGACTTCCTGGTCGTCCTCGTCGGTGACGGCCGGCAGGAAGCACGGGGTCTGCAGGTTGCTCCAGAAGGACTTTTGCGGTTCCTGCGGCTGGTTAGCCTGTTCGCTGTTGCTGCTGCTGCGGGGCTCGATGCCGTTGGCCCGGTCGGTATCGTCGCGTTTCTTGGCGTCGGCCTTGTCTTTGGCGTCCTGCGGGATCACAGAAAAAAACCGACAAAATTATAGCCACGGCGGGTGGAAAAAAAAATGGGGGGGGGAAACACGCAGACCGGAAATAATAGTAGATAGAACAAGAAGAAGTCGGTGGGAACAAAAGCGAATACGGACGTGCGACGGATAATAGACCACACACGTCGAGGAAGTGCGAATAAAACTAAAATGGAGATCAATAATATGGTAGATTAAGCTAGTAGGCGGTGGGTTTAGGTTCTTAGTAGAAGTATTTTTTTTTTTTTAATCAAAGCTGTTTAGTAGGGCCGTCGTTACAAGCAAAAAGGGAAACATGTATTTTCTTTTAAATCTGGCGTGTTTTCGAGCTGAAAGTAAACAAAACTATGGTCATCAACTATTTTAGCGTTTTAGCGTTGGTATATATATATATCTATCAGGGGGTGGCTACAGTAGTTTTAATGTGACGCAAACTGTAGGACTAAAGTCAGTCTGCCTAGTTAGAAGAAGAAAAAATACCGTTCAATATATCAACGGTAATAGTACCACAATCTTGAAAAAAACAAAAATATTTTAACATAAGGACACAGACTGTAAGAAAACCGATAGCTCACTCGGCATGTAAGCAAAAACCACGACGTCACATGACCAAAATGAAATCAGTGTGGCCACAGAACGAGTTTAAAATATCGTGTAATATAGTAGTTATCATTTAAATCTTATGGTTGACAAGAAGTTTGTACAGTTATATTGTAAAATAACTGCACAGTAATTTATATTAATTCATGCGGCTAAACCGATGCTTTTGCGCAGCCTTTATCAGTCTTTTTAAAAAAAATTCCTTTGTTCTCGGCCGGGTGAGCTATCTATTTTCATATAGTCTGTGATAAGGAGTAAAAACTTTTTTTTGTCATAATATACAGTACCAATCGCTTAACAATTTGGACTTTTTTTTTCTTATGTGGCCATACTGGTTTTAGTCCTACTAATTACTTCAATATCGCATCATACAAGCTAGTATGATATGTTAGTTCGTCTCTTTATATTATTACTCTACGATATATATATATGTTTTTTTTTTTTGGCAATAACTATTACAGCGCGTTGCTCACCTTCTTTTTGTAAGATTGTTTGTAGAAGTTGGAGAACAAGAAGTAGAACATGACGGCGTGTAACAGGATGATCCAGGCGAACGCTTGCGGGTAATCGCACTCGATGAACAGCAACTGAGACGCGTGGATGAACACCATAATGAATTGCACCTGAAACGCCAATCGTTTGGCGATTAATACGATATTGTCAACTACACGGGAGGCTATTTTTCATTATCAGCAGCGCTTCCTGCTTTTTACGGGGCACACCGGACCGGATCTGATATCGTTATATGCACTCAAACTAATACCCCCCCCCCCCACATGTCTTTCGCACTACACTCCTGTACGGTCTCTATCACCTCATCCTCATCCACATTGCATCCTACATTAAACGCATGTATAATTACCATCTGCAGGAGGGTCAGGTATTTCTTCCACCACAAGTACTTTTGCATGTGTGGTCCGATGGCGGCCAACATGTAGTACGAGTACATGATGATGTGCACGAACGTGTTGAGCAGACCGAAGAACGTGCTGTGACCGCCCGGGGTGAACTTCACGCCGAACCACACGCTCATGGGCATGACTCCGTGATGGATGACGTGCAGCGTGGATACTTGGTCGTATTTCTTGCGCATGACGAAGAAGAACTACAGAAGAAGATGACAAACAAAACGGTCGTCAAAAAGTGCGAACCAAGTGCAAAATGTGCTTTAAGTGCAGTGTCTCAGCAATACTCACGGTGTCGAAGAACTCTGTGAACTTGGAGAAGTAGTACCACCAACAGCCTCGGGCTACCTGCGCGAGTGATAAAAAAAGTGTTACACGGCGTCACGGGTATGCAATCTCGGTACACGGCCGTGCTTTGGCCGTCGGTCGACAACGGTGACGGCGCGGCGCGGCGGACATGCCAGTTAATAATAGTAATAATATCACACGCTTCTTACCCGCATGGCTTCGGGAGATGTGGAATAGTCGACGGGTTGACACCTGAGGCTGTAGCCTCGGCCCCATGCCGCGTCCCAGGCTTCCCAGAAGATCCACGTGGAGAAGATCACTTGGAATAGATTGTATACGATCAACGTCTTCCTCAGCTGGAACGGCTTGCGGTCTCTCATCAGTCTTGGTCCCACCACTTTGACGATGAACGCGTACGACAGACACGTTATTAACGTGGGCAGAGGGCCGCTCATCAGAAACCAATCTTTGACCCTGGGGTCTGCGAAAGCACAACGATAACGTTAAATCACAGATTCGATATTTTATTGAAAATAATAAAATCTAAATTAATAAATTATTAAAAAAAAAAAATGTAATTACCACTATAGTCGTTCATTAACGTGTTGTAACCTTGTGCGATTGTACTGAACACCATCTTGTTTGTTTTGGGCGTTTACAGTTTTTTAAAAGAAATTAAATCTAAAAAACAAACAAAAACATTATTCGTAAGTTTTAAATAATATTTTTTGCGTTACTTAATCCCCTACAGCAAAACAAAAAAAAATGTTCAAAATGCTATTATAACAAAAAATATTCAACACTATTCAATAATTACAAGAGTATTTTTTTATTAAATTAGTTTTCGACGAATAACGCGATTAAAGTTAATTTATTTAACTAGCTTAGTACAACTTTATAATACGTTGATTGCGTTACTTAACCTTTTGCTATTCGTTATTTATTATTCGCATAGTACATATTATTTACAAAGTCATAGTATAATAATTTCAGTATAAATAGAATTTCCATTGTGATTGACAACTAATCAAAACAAAGACAATCCATTGTGGCATGTAGAAAATAATCTTACCTAGATATTTGTTATTGTAATATTATGTATGTACAGTTAATAATTAATGAGCATACACATATTATATAATATTGTCGCAGTAACACCATAAACAATGTATAAAACGGCGAATAGTCCAACGCTATGTAAGTCCGGATTGTGATGCTAAAGTTAATTGCCAAAACAATTTTGTCTGATGTCTTGTGCGTTTGATTGTGTAACAGAATTTTTGCTGAATATATCTTAGACCCAGTGTCGGCGAAAAGCAATGTTTGAGTCGTTTTTCGTTGTCCAACCCTTAAGTATTGTTTGGTTAGCTAACAGGATAGTTGGGATATGCGATAATAATTGTCAATATCGTTATCATCGTTTGTCAGAGGAAACTTCTAGATGTCATAGCTATTTTTAATTCGCACACGGTGTCGAGCCAGGCAGCAGTGGTTAAACAAGCGATTACCAAACGTCACACGGCCCGAGTACGTGCAGATTTTTTAATTTTTTTTATTATTCGGTTTGTTTTTTTTTTAATTTAATCAAATAACCGTCTGCCCGACGTTACCACCAAACACCGCGGGGACCGCTACAGCCGCACAGCCCACAACAACAAATTACTTTTCGGTATATTATTATTATTGGCCCCTCGACACACTTGTGGAATTTCTACAAAATCTAGATAAGTTATACACGTGTATATTGAATATGACTGGTTATACCCGGTTAAACCCTGTCGTCGGAGAGAAAATTCTGAGTCAATGAATGTTGACCTTTCCGGTATTATCGCGTTTTGTAGTATTTGTTATAACCTAACCTAACCTTACGGAAAAAGAGTGTATATATTTTTTTTCAGTAGTAAAACATCATTATGTTTTCGGTATTTGCATACAACTATCGTATGCCAACAACGTGCCGCCGTTGGTAGCTAGCAAATATTTACATGGTTACACACTTTAATCACGCGTTTGGAAAATTAACATATAGTGTTTTTATATGTTTTTCAAACGATTTATGCCAGTTAGTTATTCATCGAATTAATATATTTCTTATAAATAGATTTTATAAAACGAAAAAAAATGTATCAAACTAATTTAGGATGCAGATATTTCCATAATTTCTCATACGTTGAATATCTCCCGACCAACAGAATATAAAAATTATTTCGCCCATATGTTTCAAACATAAACAAACTGATTGAAATTACTACAAATTTCTAAAAAGTTTAATCACAAAAGACTCAAAATATTTGTCTTCTTGAATCTTCAATTTTATTATGTAATTCAACAGGGATCGCATTTAACTTGAGTTAAGTTTTACTTAAAAAGAAATAATTGTTACAATTTTAATATTAAAAGTCTTAGTTTAATTTATTTTTATTTTTTTTAAACAGTTTATAGCTTTAACGTCTTGAAATTTTACTAGCTATACCTGCACACTTTATTGTACAAATGGTTAAAAAAAAAAAAAGTATTTGGAAATACCGTTTCAAGACAACTTTCATAATATTGGTACTTGGTCATTATTATTATAGGCGTTGAACGAACAAGTGATTGTGCAGTGACTAGGTTAGACTTGCGATGTGTCAAAAATAGGTTGTTTTAAGAGGGAAAGAAAACAAAATTACAATATTATTATCAGTATGAATAATTTTGGTAGAAAATAATTAATTTGGTCATAAGTAAACTTTGTTAGTTAAACAACATTTTTTTTTTTAACAGTTGTAAGTATGGACAGGACAAACGTGTTCGGCGACGGTTCCACGCGATTGTATTGTACCGTGTTTTGTGTACATCACAACCGTGATGTTGACTGGTGTTTTTTATCTTTAAAAACTCAAAACAATAATATGGTCAAATCATAATGTATTTTCCATTTACGACAGAAACACGGCCGCGGGGACAGGCGTCGCCGGAATTCCGCCGTGGGAGAGAAATCATTGCGGGAAATCACTTTTTTTTCTTTCTTTCTGCTCCTTTTATTGTTCCAACGAATTCTTCTACGCTAAATCAATAAATACACGGCCAAGACGAAGACGAACGAGACAACTACTGATTTTTAACCGCAACGGTACAATACAACAGCTATACGACAAACATCTACATTGTCGGGGACGGGCATAGCCGACTTATAGTCTACCAGTTAAGATACTTTAGTTACCGGGGGAAAGATATTGGAGAAGGTGTGCGAGGCGCCATATTTAATAGATCTAAGAATTGTACACACTTTATATGTAATAGAGAAACACAGTTTAAAACAACCTCTATTCTGTATAATATTGTACACAAACTAGGAAACCGCGAACGGTCGTTGGACATATGTATTGCGTGACTCAAGGAATTCATGTAAAACACTTATATTGCCTTATGAGCTTTATGAAATGTAATTGCTGAAAAATTCTATTATATCCGTCAATTAACAGCTTGTCTGTATGCGGTTGTGTGTATTAAACAGGCCGTCTAATATGAGTTATGCCGCCACTCGCCACAACCGATTCCATTAACACAATTTATTATTTTAATGTGTATTGTGTACACAATGTATTTTACACTGGATTTTTACAGAAAAACAATATTATTATTACTTCTAAAAAATTATAATAATTAACAAGCCGGTCGGCGATTAAAATATGTATTGTTTTTAGATGTACAAAGTAAATAGTAATTATTTTTCTTAATTTTTGTTCTGGTGACCTTGTCGGCCAGTCATGTTGCGTTGGTTTACTATCCTACACAATTATTTTTTTGTTGTGGTTTAATGGAAAACATTCGTGTATACATAGTTATTAAATTTATCTAACCTAACGATAGTGTTAAATGATATGAAAAATAAAAACTATTTGACAATGTAACATTAATGAATTATAATGAATATATTCGATAATGTAAATATTGTAACAATTTCAATAAAATATATTGATTTTACGACGAATTATCCTTAAAACGATTTTAAAAATACTTTAATGCGTTCATTGACTATATTATAACGTCATCGGTCGAAAATGTCAAATAACATCTTTAAAAAATTGTATGGTAAGAACTATAGCCAATGCTTGTATAAATTAATTATGATTTATTTTATTCGATACAAAAATATACCTATAAATTATACTATCTACTTCATACTTGCTTATCTTGAATATTAAAACACCTTGGCGTGTTTATGACTAAACATCTTCTGGTTGATTTACATAATATTACTATATGTATACTGTACAGCATACTAAACAATATGAATTTGGTCATAGCGCGAGTACTATTTTCAGAGGTCTGTCAGTTACATCCAATATCTTATATACGGACAATATCTTTGTCAATTAATTTATTTACCTATACGATAAGCATACATGCTTACTACAAAATTGTATTCCATACTTAAGCTGATATGAAGAAAATGTGTCATGTATTATATTTTGCCTGTTAGTATATCATCTCTAGTTATGGCAAAAGAAGTTTTCCTAGTCTTAACCAGTAACGGTATTTAACCTAACCGTAGTTTATAATTATTAATGGTAGATATCTACTGCAAAAACATACGAATGGGTGTGATAAAAACAAATTAAACACAAGTAAACAAACACAAGCTATTCGCAATGTCCACACGTGCATAATATAGTATCGTGTACTCGCTTACTTATTTATACCGACCAGTCCGTTAATGCACAGTACGTCTTATAATAATTACTGAAGCGCGCGTGTAAGATAGAAAAATAAACTCATTACAATAATAATTACTATTATTGTTATTTCACAAACATCGTACACAATTTTCCCCGGATCCACGTGGGCAGCTCGGATAGGTACAAAGAGGAAACAACCGTAACGATATGAGTTGTATATTATACATAATAATGTATATAAACGTTTAGGTACACATACTCGTACTATACTACTGTACATTGCAACGGTTTCTTATGCGTGTAAAAAAAAAACCATTGGAATACCTATTATATATTTTTAATTTTGTCAACGAATTATTTTATTTTTTCTTCCAAACTGAGTTTAAACGCATTTTAATCGAATTTATTTTTATGAATAAAAAAAATTGTCGTTTACACATTTTTCATTGATGCAGTGTCTCGGGCAAGTTAAACATAAAAAATTAAAAAAAAAAAAAAGAGGTTTCCCTTCCCGGTAAACGTATTTTTTTACCGATACACAATTGTAAATATAAATATAATATTATGTTTGTTACTTAATTTTCGCTGAACGCGAATTCGATCCGAGTGAAAACGCTTGTCGAGTCGAATGGTCGGTCTTGTTGTTGTTTTTTCTTTTTCTACTGTAATTATTTTGTTATACACGTCAACTTGACCGACGAATCAGCGTTGACGATATAGATGTTATAATACAATAATATTGTACAATGGTTGTGTCGTTTTAACATCCACATAATTGTTTCGTATGAGATACACGGCAAAACATAGTACCCTACCAATAAACAGCGTTGCGTGCACCATATATATTATCAAAAAGAGTTCTTTTTTCTTTCTTTCTCCCTACTGCTCTGAAATTTTCTCTTGTACAAACCCTAACTGCCGAGTGGATTCGGGTCTTTGCTGCAAACGACAAAGGAAAATTTGACATCAGTGTTTATAGCTTCTTGGATTCGAAAAAAATAGATATAATACTATGTAGAT